TATCGATATTGATACTGGATTACGAATGAAATACTGTATATATTCACCAGAGTTGCAAAATTTATTTCATTAGGGTTACGAATTCCAGAAAGTGCGATACGAAGGTATAGGTTCTCCGAAAACAATATGGATAAAATCAGAATATTTATGTTAGCCACGAACGTACGTGCACCATACACGAAATGGCGGATTGCAAAATCCTTCTTACATCCCTTAAATCAAGAAAGTTCCATTACATCAACTGCCATTCTACAAAGAAGCTATGGACAATGGAGTGAAAAGGCGGCTTCAGCCCCGATGAAGTACTAAAAGTAGACGAAAACTATGCGTATGTTGTTGTGGATCCAAATGATCCGACTTTGATGTTATCATTAACCCAACATCAGTATGTGTCCTTACTTCAAGTGATTATTAGACAGCGTGAAACGCTAAAAGTCATTCTAACACCTGATGATCATCGGTACCCGACTCGTGACAAAGAGTAAGAAACTTCGTATGTAAATTCAAAATTCCCAATACATAGGTCATCACTTTTATAAGAATTTATGTTAATGACGAAATTATTGAGACAAAATAGTCAAAAATTTTTTATATTCAATATAATTAAATTTGCTTAATAAATATGTAAAAAGTTCATTCCTTTCTATAATTGAAATTATATTCACTCTAAATTTTTTATTTCTTTGTAAATAAAATTTCTAAATTTCTATTTATTATTTCAAGAATATTTTAGCAAAATGGACTGACATGAAGCGAACAAGTTATTAGTGGTGGTTCGGCCTAAAGTTTCTAGCTATGTACACAGATAATTATAAAGAAACAACTTATTGTTGTAATATTCGTGATATTCAGATAACGTGTGCGGTCAGACCTGTCTATGTGCACTATATGCCTCAATCGCAACCAGTATGCGAAAATTCAATTTGTTCAATGTTCTTTGAGAACATTAAAATTTTAGAACATAATTTATTGTCGCAGCTGATGCTAAAATTTGAAGTCTCGATTTGAAAATATAAACCCTGCTAAAATTCACATATACTCTTTAATTATCAATTCTAACCCTAAATCCTAACTTAGCCCTAAAAAAAAAGCGGAAAAAACACCTCCAAAAAATTTTAAATTTTTCATATCAAATTTCCAGCATCAGCCGTTTTCAGCATCAGCTGCGACATTTATTAAAATATTCTAACAAATATTCTCTAACATTAAATAAGTTTTTGATATACAAAATTAATTTCCTGTATTGAGAACTATAAAAACAACTTTGAGAATTAAGGCCTTGAAGAACATTCTTGTGAGAACAAAAGCAAAAAATTAATTTCATATACTGATCCGGGCTACTAATAACACTTATAGCACTATCTTTTTTAAATGTACATCCTCTCAAATGCACACTTGTGGACGGTCCAAAGGTAGGGTGCATATATGGAGATTTGACTGTATAACGATAAGACAAAAGTTTTTATTGAAATATATTAACATATACATGTCCAAATAATAGTTAATAGTTTATTTAAAGTTATTTAAATTTTTGAAAAAGAGTTTAAAGCTATATACTTCCTTATTTTTTCAACATTCATAATTCAAATTCTTCTAATATCTTTTTAATTCAGCTCTAATTTTTTTTCAATCACATTTAACTGGCAAATCATAGCTGAAAGGTATAAATTTTATAAGAAAAAATAAATGTATTATCAATTGATATATCCACCAAATAAAATTAATATATTAATAAAAGATTTGTATAATGTTAATACTAATTAAATTAATGGGCTACAATAATTGGAAATATTTTAAATACATCAATGAATTTAAGATTCTTATATTCACAAAAAAATGAGAAATTAATAATGACAATGCTATGAATTTGAACAGTTTATTTTAAATGTTTAACTAGTTATATTCAGTATATATATAAAAATTATACAATATGAATTTAGTATTTAAATAATAAATTTTTTTAATCTTTTTTAAAATAACTATAATATGCCTTGCAAAGATATCCAACTTGTTTAATCTATCCAACTCATCCAACCTGTTCAAATTATCTTATTATGTTAATAATGTAAAAAATAAAATTTTTATCAAACTAATGAGATAGATATTGTTTGTATTTTAAATAATTATTTATAGAATTTTTCTTAAGGTGAGGTTATACCTCATAATCTTAATTAATATTTTAACTATTAGTATATTATAGAATAATATTATATATTTTATATTATTATATAAGGCTAGAACTATTTTATTTGTAACTTAAATCTACTAAAATATTTTATTTCTAATCTATATATTATCTAGATTTTGCTTTTCAATTTACTATTTTAACTATATATATATTCTTTATATTTCTTACTATATTTTCTTCACAATTTTTAAATTAGTTTTATAAGATAATTATTTTTATAATAGCTATAGTTTATATTTACTTTATATTAACAATATGTCTACGACTATTTTACAAGTTTTTATTATTTTTTTGACAACACTTTTCTGATAAACAAAATCTTAACAAAAATTAACCAGAACTAACACTAATCCAAACCTAATACAGGCTAACTTGTCAGAATTTTGATATTGTCAGAAAAATAGTTGTCAGAAAAATAATAGAATTCTCTATTTTACTACTATATTACTATATTTTTACTACAATTTTACAAAAAATTTTTTAATAAAATTGTAGTAGATATATTGTTAATATATAGTAAATATTAAACTATAATAATATAAAGTAACTATATAGTTATTTTATAGCTAATTGCTAGTAGTTAAGGTTTTTCAAAATAAAATTAAATTAAATATCAAGTATATTTGAATTTGATTTGATTTAAAATTTCTGTATTTGATTTTTTTTTTTGATGTTAAAGTGACTTCTTGGTCGTGTTCTTTTTATTTGATTATAGTTATAAATTTTACAGTATAATTTTTATACCATATACATATTTGGCAAGTATAACTAGCCACATATACAACTTTTGGTTGTCTATTTAAGTAGTCTGTTTATTACTAAGTTCTACACTAGATGTTATATCTATAACCCAGCTAGGGTTATTTATTTAAACCCTCTGCACCTATATGATTACTCTATTAACTGAGCGAGAATACTTTGTATATCCTTATTTTCAGATATAAACTTAGGACTTTAAGATAGACTCTTGTCCAAAAAGCCCTTTATCTTTGAAGTAAACCTGCTAGAGCTTTCCGTACCTACAATCTGGTTGACCTAGTCTTCGGTTGCTACACACAGACCGAAGTCCACTACTTGCACCCCAGTTTCTATATTGGATACTATAATCTGATCGCTGCTATACAACCTACTTTTGCCCTTATAGAGTTTACCCAAACCCTGGTACTCCTCTTCAAGTTTACCCAGTACCTTCTCTTTTCAGTACCACTCTAGTTAATCTCACTACAACTACCAATTCAAATAGCCCGGAAGGAATGCCAGTTTCTTGGTATCTGCATACAAATTTTTTTTCTCTAGTTGATACTCTGGTAGCCTGGTTTGTAGAGTACTCTTGCCTAATACCTAGTTCTTGTTTAGTTATATTAACCTCAAATGTATTCTATTCCAGTAGTACTGTCAAAGATCGGTATTACTTTTTTATTCAGAACTTTCTAAGTAAGCGCTCTATCGCTATATTAGCCCTGTGGCTTTCTACAATCTCTTGTGTAATTTTTTTGTTATACAAGTATCTTCAGATCTTCCAGTTTTTGATAAACTAAATTGGTATAACTACAGTTACAGGGTTTCGAGTTTTCTTGCTCATGGCATTAGTTGCTAAATCCATTTTTGAAATTTAATTTTTATCTTCAGTAGAAATTGAACTTGTATTCAACCGTCTTGCTGTATAGCAAGTTAAATAATAATGTCTTTCCTGAGCTCTTCTCATGATATCCTCCCTAGCACAATTAAAAATATTTAAAACAGACAATAATAATAAACATATAACTATAATATAATTTAATTATCGGGTAACTTACCAATCATGAAGGTCGGTCTCAAGCTTTTCAAGATGCGATTTCATATCGTCCGTGGCATGCACATACATCTCCCATTCTCTATAGGAAAAATGTCCCAATTCCATTAGTTGAGAGGCTTTTTTGACAATCTGATGGACAATATTTATTTGCTGAACAAAATTCATCAGTTCAATTGCGCCTTGCTCTAAATTGTTTTCGTTCTCTGTTGACATGGACATTACGTAGGCAAATGATGCTTGTTTCGCGATCAGGAGAGCTTGACCTTGCACATCTTGCAGATTAGAAAGATCGAGAGTTGTTGTCTTTGTCCTACCAGTATCTTCGTAAGGTTTTTCATAAGACAACTCTACAGTACATTTATCATAATTTTTGTCGCGGAAAAATTTGTATCCACCTATCGTAGCGACATCTCTAATGCGTATTTTTGTCGCCTCTCCTCTATTTAATATACTAAAATATACATTCTGAATGGCGAGATTGCTTAAACAACATTGAGAAATTTTCTGGGATAAAGAAGGATTTTTTGATGCAATATCCCGTATCTGATCCAGAAATTTATAAATGATGGTATGTGTTGGATTGCCTTCTTTATAAAGTTTCCTCATACTATTCATTAAAGGTACCAAAAACGTTTTGACTTCAATTAATGAAGCAATGGTATTTTCTTGGACCTCACGATCTTCAGAACCATCGTCTACACTGTTCATTAAATTTCTTAGATCAACTTCAGCTACTGTATACAGCCAGGTGAGAAGATCGCCAGCAAAAGACAATGCTCTTATTACTTTCCAACAATTGGCATCAAAATTAGTAATAGATCGATTTATTTCATTAATAGCCCTATACAGCTCAATGAGTATCAAGGGATCCTTAAGCTTATTATGAACATTTGCCACCCAACTACTGTATCTACTACATTCTGCACTCTAAAAATTCTTAAAGTTTTTTCTAAATCATCGATTCGTTCCCTCCATAATTTAACATAATCTAGATAACCGATTGCTTTTTTCAAGTCATCTCTTGGATACCATTTCATTCCTCTTGACATCAATTCAAGTTCATAATCTATATCTTTAACATCTTTCCAAAATGGTCCTACCCTGGTATAATCAAGTGTCATCCAATCTCTATACTCCGCTCGTATTTTATTGTATTTTATAAAAGCTTCACGTATAAATCTTGTAGCAAGCAACTCTACCGTTAAAGTCACGCCACGTGCCTTTGAATGTCTATCAAGCACATTCCTGAATGTTTGAGAATCAATATAAATGTACACACTTTGTGCTATGTCAATCATTGGTTGATGAATTTTCCAGAAAGGTTCGCTGAACGCATCCTGAAGAATAACTTTTTCTTGTACATTTAATTTTGATTTTATGTCATCAATGTAATCTTGTACATCTACAGCACTTTTACAAAATTTGTTATAAAAAATTTCGAGACTTTTTAATTTTTCCATATATTCTTTATAGTTATATCTGAGTGATTGAAGAACTGTAATATCGATCATCAATGATACATTGTCGTTTTCGACAATTGAAACGAAATTTAGCAATCGGTCGTCATCATAAGTAAGAATTTCTTTTAACATTCCAATTTCTATAGACATATTTCTTAAATTTAAAACCAGCTTTATTATAGCCTGATGTACTATTTTTACATATACATTCTGCCTATAAAGTCGTTCAGTTGAACCTGTAGCTGTCAAAATATAAATCCAAAAATTCGAGGAAGCAAGCAATGCTTTAATGAAATTAGTGTCGTTGGGATTTATTTCTGCCTCTGGTAAATTTTCATATAATCTCGTCATTATATGAAAAACAATATCTTCACAAAATCTATTACAAAGATATAGTAGTGAATGTGAATTGAATATTATTATAAAAATATACAGTATAGCGAAGAAACCATAAACGCAACTTGCCTGTTTCGAATACATAATCTACGTTCGTTGGAATTGCAGATTTTCATTATCTTTGATTGTAGTTTACCATCAATGTTTCTAACATCTGGTCCGAATTTTTCTTTTAGTATACGGCTAAAGAAATCTATAACTCTTGCTTGTTTCAATTTTTCAGCATCAGTAGCAGCATAAAACATTACATCATCTGAAAGAGCTTTGATCTCCCTTTCGGCAACTTCAAACAGCTCATCACATGTGATGTTATTTTTTGCAGCAATTTGATAAACTATTTCGAGATGATAAAGAATCATAAACACAAAGTTTCTGTCAAGGTTGTGCACTTTCTTGATATATAACGATAAATTCTTAAGCCATAGAGCGCAAATTTTGCTGACTTTTTCATCCATGAGACCTTCTCTTAGGAAACTATCAAGTCGATTTGGAAAAACCTGTAGTAATTCTGGATTTTGAGAAGTTGCAATATATTCAAATGCTTGTAACACAGAGGCATTTTGCCATCTCAAACTAGTATGATGAAGCAATCTGAATATCGCATCAAGAGTAGACTTGCCCCAAGAAGTTCCCGGGTTGCGCAACAAAAACAAAGCTCTATCACGAAACAGTGGAGCAAAATTGATGTCAATATCAATAGGTATCTCTTCAAGATGATTGTATAATTCTTTAGCATTGTCTCTTGCTATAAAGTTACTTATACGATCAAGAAAATATTGAATAAATTCTTCATCTAGTTTTACACTAAGACGGAAGATATGTTTCCACAAAAATAAAACTACACCAAGATCATTACATAATTTAATGAGAGTCTGTTTAAAATCAAGACAAATAATAAATGACTATTTCAATAAATGTCATTACATATAGAAATCCAATATTAATGGTAAATTGGCTTACCTTGCAAACATTCACGTAAGTTTCTTCATGTTCGTCACTAATATTATCCATGCATGGCTTGACAATTTTATTTAGAGAGTCCTGAAAATCAAATATGTTATCTTTGGTATATATAGGTTTCTTAACCTTTTCGAGAAAGGCATAATTTGGATCTGCGAAAGGCGCGATCCTAAATGCTTCCATCCATTCAAATTTTGCAGAGTAAGTTGAAGCATGACGCACTAAAGCAGAGACAACTGATGACAACATTGCAATAACATCATGAGGTAAATGATTTTCGTTAACACCATTAAAAGCTTCTAACAATTTAACTGAAGGAAAATTTCTAGGAAGATTGAATTCCATTTTCTCATTTATTATGTAGCCTAATAGCACAAATAGAAATATTTGTTGCTCGACAGTGCTATAGTAACTAAGACATGTGAATACGAAATCTAAAGTCATATCATTATCCAGTACAACCGAATGTCTTTTATTGATGTCTTGATATTCTATGATTTTATCCTTCAAACTTCCAGGGGTTATAGAATTATAAATCATAAAATGAAATGAATAATTCTCTTTTAAATCCTTCAAATTCATAGAGCTACTATTATTTTGTTTCCATAAATCATATTGATTCTCTTTAGAAATTAATTCATGATCAACCTTTTCAGAGATCCAATCACCCACAGTGATATCAGGGTCGTCTTCTTCATCTTGCGATTTTAGTCTGGATGGTCTGGATATCCATGTTAAACGCTTCTTACCTTTATAAATAAAATAACTATATTGTATAGGCCCTTCTTGAAAGGCTGAAAGTGGTATACTAACAGGATCAGAATACCAGTACATTGAATTTTTTTTGTGTTGTTTTAGTTGTATAATTCCTTTTGTTGACATCCCCAATTCCTTAATGTTACCAATGACATATACTCTATGTTTCTTAATTAAGCCGCTTGGCATCTTTGGCATCATTACATGAAAGCGAGTGGTCACCACATAATCATTCGGTGGTGTAGGTGGAGATTTTTGAACCTGAATATTAATTTGTGTTGGTTGAATTTGTTCAGTGTTTTCAGCAGCAATTGTTGCTATTAATGGGGCAGAAATATTATCGTATCCTCCTTCATTATCGTCAGGTTTAGGAGGTTTTAAATTTTTATTATGGTATTCTCCTTCATTATCATCAAATTCACGAGATCCATAAGGATTTTCATTATAGGATCCTTCATAATCGTCAGGCTTAGATCTTAAATGTTTATTATAGGATACTC